GTGCCAGCACGGAACGGTGCAACTGAAATTGGCCATTAAAGCTTGCCAGGTATCTGCCTAACAAGGTTATTTCTTCGATGGAAAAGGTAAGCCGTTGAGGCAGATATGCCGCGAATCCCACCGAGGTCAGTGCCGAGGCTTTCGGAAAGGACCTGATGACTATCTGTAGTCGTCGAATCCTGAGCTTCTACTTAGTATTAGACCTTTTGCAGCCATTTACCATTTCTTAACTCTTCCTCAATAAAATCACTCTTTCTTCGGTTCGCAGGTCTTCAATACACAAAATCGAGATCCCACCACTTTCAACTACCGTCGTGCTACATCTTCCCAGCGTCACCCGGCACATCCGACATCGGCCCGACCAACTTTATGTTTGGGGTTTCTATTTTACTGGACAACCTATCGCGACCAGGCCTTATGGGAGCGCTAGGTCACATATTTAGGCGAATGCATGCTGGGAGACATATCATACAATGCAAACGCTACCTATATTCGGCCCTACCATCGCCTGTCAATAATCGAAGACCCAGAACTCGACGGCATGTCGATCTGGAATGTCATGCTGCGGTTCCAATTTTGGGCTGAAGGTCTATCTCAAAGTGCCGACCCTGAGCAAGAAATTCCGATTGTTGGAAAACGCGACCACAGTCGTTTCGGTTACTGCCTCATTGTCGACGATGACTATTCAAGATCTTTCGAAGCGCAGACCGGGAAGCCCGCAATCAACAGCCTCTACATCAAGGCCGTTGATTGCCGGCCATTTGCTCGTCACTCCTCAGATGATGAAGGCCATGACACAGGCAGCGGTAAACATGATCAAGAGGATGAGGACTCGAGCTGGATGTCTGTAAGCTGTAATTCTTTTTGTTCTCTCTACGATATGCTAGACTCTGGATTTGAGTGGGAAAGGCAATCTCGCTCTGTCCTGTACCCAGCAAAGCGCCCATGGGACGGCTGAGAACTCAGCACTAGGGGTAATAACCTGATACTCGTCTTCTTTTCGTCTTTGTAGTCGTCATTGTGGTCGTCTTCATGTTCGTTTTTGTGGTCGTTGCTGTCGCCCAGGGGCCCGCCGAGTATCGGCTTATTCCCCTTAAAGTACTATACGGAGGCAATTGATGTTGAAACATAGATCAATATGACGTTTACGACATTCACGCAGGGAATCTGTAACGTGAAGAAAACAACATATGCTATAAAACTAAAACATTTCATAAGTATTTCGCTTTATACGTAAAACCTCCAACACTTCAATCACTATGGTCCTAATTCCCATAGCAATGTTTCTTGAAGTCTTCATGGTATCCTCGTTGCAAATTATCCGTTAAACATCCGAGCGGCTAAGAAGCTGGTGTGGTTGCCGGGCGATAGTTGAGATCAGATCCGCCATCAGCATCTCAATCACAAGTTTGACACTGTATGCGACTGGATGAGTAATGGCGTAAAGAAAAGGGTTGGGAAGAGACATCATAACGATGATGAGAATCTGATGCAGCTTTCAGCACGGATGCACATGCAAGAATCGAAGAGATGAACTCACATCCATGGACAAAGAGACTGAAACGGCTGCGACATTGCAGTTGAACAATAGCCAATACTTTGTGAGACCTCCGGCAATCAATTCCCGTCGCACTTTGCGGAGGAAAATCGCATTCAGAGTAAGATCCACGATTAGATAGATGATCTTTTCCATGCGATCCCAGATCTCATTGATGCGCACAAATGGTTCCTTTTGTGTCAAGCGAGCTGGGATCCATATGCAGGCAACCGAGATATTGATGATGCCGACTATGACGAGCAAGGAGATCTTCATGATTTTCACTCTGCTTTTGTCAATTATGACGAGGCCTAGGCGATTTGCGATGATTTGGAGGGCTAGCTGCGTCTGCAACGTCCATAGAATGCAACTTCCAAAGAAGAAGCCAAAGCTAGACTCAAGGGTCAGCTACTTTATCCTGATCCTTGCGGATCGATGTCAGTGTCTTACGTTCCTAACAGATCACCTCGAATGAACAGCCAGTTGATGATGGCTTGCAGCAGATTGGCAATAAGTAGAACCCATATCCTTTCAACTGTTATCACTGGCGATCGCTGAAACGAATTTGACTTAAAAATAACGAAGTGATACTCACATCCACACATAAAGGTTGAAGAATGAGTTCGTTTTCATGTAGATAGAAACAGTCTGCTGTGAGGCTTTTACTGCGATGAGTATTGTGAGACCAATTGTGATGCCAAAGTAGATACTTGGTATTTCGAGGGAGTAGACGGCCGTGCCAAACGCCTGGGCTCCCATCGTCGCTTCAACATCAACAGTGATGGCCATGTTGACAGAAACTGATGAGTGTGTGAAGTTGCCGGGAATTGATGAACGGTGTTTCATCAGCGCTTGGCGAACAAAGAGGCCGATGATCACGTCCAGCGGGATCGCCACTTATATGTAAGCCCGCCTACTGGCCGGACGACGATCGCAACCGGCGCCTTAGTGCCGTCTCTAGCACGTTGATTCGCGGGGTTGGTTTACCGCTAGTTCAATGTGGCAGACGCCAAAACACATGCTTCCTGCAATGCAGGTATTTTAATCCCACGATGGTAATGACTCGAGTTCTGCAGTCGCCAGGTCTCGATGGTGTTTTCACGCAATTCTATGTTGTGCAGACATCGATTCTACCACACTCGTGGAAGAACAGCACAAGTTCTCGACTCCGTACTCTGAACATGACAAATTCTGAATATCCAATGCCTCTGGGTACCTTCTCTTGGTATTATTACTCTCGTAACCTGTCGTCATCTACAGCGGTGTCCGGTGAACCATTGAATTTTGCCCGGTAATGATTGAGGTCATGCATTCTCGAAATCGGCAGAGGCCGAGAAGCGATAATTATCTTCATACCGGGCAAAATGCCTAGTCTATGACGGGGAATAATTCGAATTGATATTCCGGGCCCGAGATCCCCGCTCAGTTGGTACATGATGTCCAAAGTACCGTCACCTCGTTTCTTGCGTGATTGTCGCAAGAACAATCTACCGCCTTGGTGCACGTAGATAGGTCACATCATGGTGACGAGACTCAGAGCGGTCTAGAACTCCAACTACGCGAAGCTCCCCCAAGGATTCTTATCACTCATGGCACCTAGCTATATCCCCCCGTAAGGATTGGTGTGACCGGCATAAAACGTGGCCAAAACCCTGCCACGTTCTGCACCCAAGTCTTGGGAGACACGGCTAGAAAGGGCCGAAAGAATACTTTGGTCGGCGACGATTGGACAACTTTGATAGCTTTACATTGCTTTTTTCTTCTTCCCTCGTATAAGGTGGCTTCGGGGCGCTGCCTTTCGAAGCAGGCCACCGGACCTGGATCCGAAGACGTGGAGTCGGTGAGACGGTTCAAGTAGGATCCAGGTAGACGGTACACTTATCTTTGGAGTCAAATGACAGGGGTCATTCATAACCATGAGATCAGAATCACCTTTTTCTAGAATGAGCTGATTTCGATGGCGAGATGCGCCTGTGACAATCGAGCGAAACGAATTGGAGATGATGCTCCATGGTAACAGGTCTCACGGGAACTAGCGGCACCAGCTAGCGACACAACTAGCGCGATATGAGAAGTGATAATGGCTGAATGAAACAGCGAGAGCATTCGAAGCTCAGAAGTCTCGATTTCGGTAGATCTCCGACCGGTGAGAGTGGGATCTAGAACAACTACCCGACCTACTTGGTGACTGGATCGGATAGGCTGAAAATGCTTCAAATCAGCGTGAAGGGGTAGCAAGGTTGGGGAACGTGTCATTGCACTTTGGGCAATTCTTCCGAATCACTGATGAGTAATGAGTCGTCCCTTGGCAAGATAGAATGGAGGTCAGAGAAGGGGACGAATCTATGAGAGAGCCGAACGCTACAGGTCGCGGTGAAGCCAAGAGGCTGCGCGAGTCTCGACGTCGCATCAAAGCTGCAGTAAACAGAGCACTGCCTCGATATGTACCAACAACGAAGACGTGACATGTTGCCATATCTGATGTGTGTTTAGCTGTTGATCAAAATCATTCGATATCACTTGACAATTACGGATTCATGTCATTAGTATGTGTTGCAGACATCGAGGTATGTATGCACGTACGTACATAATTAGAACAATGAACACCACTCCTGAGTCTTGTTTGCCCCGGGCAAGAGGCTTTTCGACCATGGCAATGGACCAGCGTAGCCCTCCCCTAGCGATGTAAGCGAGAGTCTTTCTCTTGGAAAGACACCCTCCACACCCATTCTTTTTGGTAAATGTAACCAGCACCTTGACACGTGTGAGCTGGAAGGATATCAAAGGGTAGATTGCATTCCTTCGAGCCGATAGACAAGGAACCATTCCACATTGATGCATGCCAATAGCACGTCAACATCGCGACCATAGACGCCTTGGCGCGCAAGACATCTTTATTCTGCCAACGGTCCAGACTTTGGGGTCCCCGAGGGCTTGCAGAGACTCGCTTGTGTTACAACGCCTCGTAGCACCGACCAGATCGGCGGTGAAACTTGAGCAGTATTGTCCCATTGGCAGTCGGCCCTGCTCGGGCTTCCGCGCAAACTTCCTTTCGTCTCGAGGCTCTTAGTGCCTGTCTCATTCCCTTTACCGAGAAGCCCCGCGCCCTGTTTGCTCTCTGGAATCCATCGAGAGGCGCGGGGCGGGAGCACCAGCTAACAATACTTCTTTCTCATCCATTGCCTAGCTTGGTAGACACAACAGATATTTGGGGAAGCTCATATCTATAGAAATTTGCATCGTGTAACTACTCGTTCTTTCAAACCTTGTTCTATGAAATGACAATAAAGAACCGTTGTGAAGCCCACGGCAAACATCGTGAGCGATTGGACAATTTACGGCGTCAAGCACATGAACGCCGCCGGCTACTTTGCTTCATAATAGCAATCGCCCAGTCATGAAGTTTCAGTCTTGATCGAAACAACCAGAATTCAGATGCACACATCCTTCCTCCAATTTCAATATGTTGTCCATAATCGTCGCGATTTTCGCTACTCTTACCGCTGCGCAAAGCACACCCTGGCCCACATTCGGCAACTGGACCGAGGTATTCGACGGTCACCCATACATCCTCTCAGGCCCAAAGACCCTAGGAAAGAAAATCGACTTCGAACTCGAGCGATGTCACTTCGTCCTCAAACTACTCAACGAGCGCACACACATCCCAAACAGCCAGGTCCCGCTCCCAACCCCAGGCTCCCTCTGTATGGACATCCTCGCCAAACGGAAAGCTTCCATCGGCGACCGGGGCTTTCTCGAGCTCTTCTCCAAAGATATTGAAGATGCCAAACAGTTCTGGTATGACGTCAACTCCAATTCCACGCTACAGGACCCAGCCACGTGGAAATCGGTCGAGTGTCGTGCCCTTGTACCATTTCCCAATGTCAACGCCTGGGCCTTTTCGACGTGGTCTGCCTCACCTCTCGCAGATGCTGCTAATAATCGCGGCAACGCGGAGCACTACTTCAAGAAGTCTACTTACGCTGGAGGAGGAGCGACTGGCACATCGCGGATTCTGGAGAGCTGGGGCGGGGTGGTGACCAACTTTAGTATTCCCAACTACAGCGCACGAACGTGTGCGCAGAGACCGATGGTGCGACTGCTACCCGAGTTTCGACTCAAGGCTTGCGGTGACAAGAATCTTATCGACGGCAACAATACCCGATTTGGGGTGTTGAATATTGCCGTGAGGGATATCAGTGTGGCTGGGAAAAGGTATCTTGATATCTATGCCTCCGTGTGGTATGGCAGCGCTATCCCGGAGGAGCACCTTGAGGCAGAGAGGCAACATATCATTATTGAGATTGTCAACTTGAGTTTGAAAGCTCAGGAAGATGTGCAGAGTGGGGTGTTCAGAGTTCCGGCGCCTTCAGAATCTTGAGATCTGCGCTCGGGAGGGTAACATAGTACTCGAGCATAGTGTCTTTGTAGTCTCAACTAGAGAGATCGTTATAAAGTTGTGAACATTTAGTATGCGGCGACTTTCTCAAATGCTATGCGAGTAATCGTCCTTGAGGCTGAGTCACGGTGGTGCAACTCCTGATTATCCCAAACATCGCCATGGTCCTCGGCCCAATGTCCAACGTACATATCAGCGCCAACGAACCCGCCCAAAGCAGCTCCATCGGCTTAGAAGTGATGTGCGGCAACATTGGTAGCATCATCTCCACCTAGTCATACTTGCCATAGGGCTCAGGAAACTATCGCGTCGGTAACAGTCTCGACCTAGACGCGGCCAGCATGTCCTTCGTTAACCTTATGGTATAGTTCCAGACGAATAGGATAAATGAAATAAACTTTGTGAGGACCGTAGTATTGTGGAGGACTCAGTGGGCATGTAGGAGGAGGAGACGCAGTGCCTGGAATGGAAGCAACCTGCTTCCAGATGAAGGACTTGAAGTGACTTGATAGAAAGCATGGGCGAGACGGAAGCGGCGAGCGGCGAAGGAGCTGATGGGACACTGTCATGGATGATGCATGAATGTGATCAATAGAGATCTGGTACATAAATGCCTGCCTGACCCATGGCTCAAGTCTTCCTGTCTGATGTGGCTTCGTTGTGGATGTTTCTCAGTGCCTCGTTGTCTGCTGAAAGTGTGTGTGCTATTGTGACTGCCAACAATATAACAATAAACCACACTTATCAACCCCAGTAGCCTTACTTGGATAATCATCCACAATTGTTGCACATTTTATTCGGTTTGTTCCAACTCGACCCCCTTATTCGCACCTCTGAGCCGATCAACGTTTCCTGGACTTGCGACGTGCTTTTCCGGAAGACACCACCTTCCTTGCCAACATGCTCGATGATGATCCATCATCCCAGGGACCCTGGCCGCCTTTCTCGAAGCTGGAATAACCAAGACTGATCATGAATCTCAAGGCGTGGACGGGTGACCAACAAAGTCTGTTCGGCAGCAAGAAGGCAGGGATTGGCGCTTGGCATGCACAAGAACTGGGTCCCGCTGGGCATTGCTTCGGGGTGGGTGGGAGTTGTTCCCGCCACTCATGTCGTTCCGCGTATGAGGAATAAGCAGGCTGTGTGATGATTACGGCGGCTAACTCAAGGTCAGAGGGGTGAAAGCAGATATAATGCACCATCGCAAGTTTGACCTCAAAGCTCTATTATCATGGAGAGGGGCTGAAAACGCCAGACATGTTGTGGTCCGTTCGTCAAAAGATAGGGCGGGCTGGCGGGCGATGCATGCATATGCAATCACCAGTGGTACACGTGAACGGCTAGAGCCGCAGGGAGGATCCCCATCTCGTCGCTGTTGCGAGGCTGTCAGCAGAACCCCGCGTTTTTCTAGAACTTTGGCACAACTCTTCCTTGAGCATACTCGATTTCTTCGGGCTTTGCTAGTGGCATGAGACAAGGTGCATGCTTTCCACAGATTACGTCGTTCGCGAGCATCTTCATCTCGGATTCCTACGAAGAGGTCTCTCCGACACATATTTCATGCAGATGAGCGTCACGAAGTCCAGCGCGGCGTCCGCGGGCGGAGATGGGATCAGTGAAGCTGAGGACAAAGAATCGTACACCGTCGGGTGGATTTGTGCTCTCCCTCTGGAGATGGCCGCCGCAGAACTAATGCTGGACGAAATTTACGACGACGTTCAATTCGAGCAAAATGATGGTGACCACAACAGCTACACTCTAGGTCTCATGCAAGGCCATAGAGTAGTCATCGCCTGTCTGCCGAATGGTGTTTACGGAACAAACCCGGCCGCCATAGTTGCTAAAGACATGCTCCGGACTTTCAAATCTATTCGATTCGGTCTACTCGTCGGGATCGGAGGCGGAGCGCCATCGCCAGATCATGATATTCGACTTGGCGATATCGTCGTAAGCAGGCCTACTGGTACCAGTGGAGGTGTCATCCAGTATGACCGGGGAAAGAAACGAAAGCTTGAGGAGTTCGAACGAACAGGGTCGCTTAATGCACCGCCCACGGCGCTTCTGACAGCTCTAAGCAGCCTCCAAGCTCGTCACTTACGCGGTGCCAGCAAGACCCCTGGGTTCCTTTCCGAGGCGGTAGAAAAGATTCAAAAAGCATCATTTCGACAGAACTATACTTATCAGGGCAAATCCAACGACCGCTTGTTTCGAACCGAGTACGAGCATGTCAACGTCGACTCTAGCTGCAATGATTGCGATGGCTGCGATAATTCGCAAATTGTGGAGCGGGTCGATAGAGACGACGCTGATCCAGTGGTTCACTATGGTAACATCGCCTCGGCAAACCAAGTCGTAAAGGATAGTAAGACCAGAGATCGATTGAGCAAGGAGCTTGGGGTGATTTGCTTTGAGATGGAGGCGGCAGGACTGATGCAAGACTTTCCCTGCCTGGTGATTCGTGGCATCTGCGACTATTCGGACAGTCATAAGAACAAAAGATGGCAAAATTACGCCGCCGCAACCGCGGCGGCATATGCAAAGGGTCTTCTATCCAGAGTGCTTCCCAGCAACGTCAAGAAGGAGAAGGTCATAGCTTTTGGCAAGTAGCCCTGTTCCTTGTCGTATGGGAGAGAAATATGTGATAAAAAGATCAACGTGAATTGATGCGCACAACAATTTCTCTCAAGAAAACGGCCTTGTTAACAAATCACGTTTTAGATCCTCAAATGCATGTCCTCCTTGGTGAAACGAAAGAGGCCATATTACACCAAACAAAACAACAAGAGAGGCGCCATGAAGATGGCAAGAGTGAAGAATGTCTTCGCGAACTCTTCCAGACGAACCCAAAAGATGATAGGGAACGAATAATCCGCAGAAAGGATAACACCCCTACCCTTTTCAAATCATCATACGAATGGATCCTAAATGTCGAGGAATTCCGACGCTGGCGGACCGACTCAGAAAGCCGCCGGCTCTGGATCAGAGGAGACCCAGGCAAGGGAAAGACGATGCTTCTTTGTGGTATCATTGAAGAGCTGGAGAAAAGCGATCCGCGTCCGCTGTGCTACTTTTTCTGCCAAGCTACAGTGCCAGCGTTGGACAACGCAACTTCCGTCCTTCGGTCCCTAATTCTTCAACTGGCTCAGAAGTATCCCTGGCTCCGAACACAGGTTCTAGCCGTGTATGAGAAGGGTGGCAAAGCTCGTTTCAATGATCACAACGCTTGGGGCACTATGTATGAGCTGCTCAATTCAATGCTCAGCGACCCACGATTGGATGGCGTTTTGTTGATCGTGGATGCGCTCGACGAATGCACGACAGACCGCCCCAAGCTTCTTCATTTCATCAGGAATCTCTCAGAAATCTCTCGCGCTAGAGTCATTATCTCAAGTCGAAAGTGGGCCGAAATTGGCGAGGTGCTCGGCGAGCACAATACGAACGGGTCTACTATTACCCTCGAATTACACGACGATCTAATCTCCAAAGCGGTCCATTCGTATATCGACCGAGAAGTTCAACAGCTGGCTAGCCGCAAAAGGTTCAACGAAATTACCTGCTCAGAGATTCAACTGTACTTGAGAAAGCAATCGCAGGATACATTCCTTTGGGTCTCCTTAGTTTGTCAAGCTCTGCTTGATGGTAGCGTTAAAAAGCGTAACGTCATGAAGGTGCTTGAAACATTTCCGCCTGGACTCGATGCATTTTACGAGCGCATGATCAGGTCTTTGCCCTCTCTAGACGAAGACCTGTATAAAGAGATACTGTCTGTCATGTCGATCCTCAAACGACCCGTTACGATTGAGGAACTTCTTCCTCTCCTCCAGTCACATTTCAGTGATGATGCGGAGTATTTGGAGGAAGCAATTAAATCATGTGGGTCTTTTTTGAGGATCCAAGCAGAAAAGATCTACTTTGTGCATCAGTCGGCTGTGGAATTTCTGAAAAGCAGTGCTTCAGAACTTTCCACTGTTGCAGAGCGACACAAGTCCGTTTTTCGGAGGTCTATGGACGTCCTCAACACACCTGGGCATCTGAAACGCGACATTTACGGTTTGAAAGAGCCCAGTACAGGCATAGCGGAAATCCATACCCCTGAACCCGATCCTTTGTATGCTATACAGTACCTCTGCACCTATTGGGTTGACCACTTGACTGATTGGGTCTGTGAAGAAAGGATAGAAATGGGACAGCCAACGTCACAAGACGACCGTGCCATTTTCGAGGTCAACAGGTTCCTCAAAGGAAAGTTTCTTCATTGGGTCGAGGCACTTAGCCTCCTTCGCCAGATGCAACAGGCAGTACAAGCCATTCAAAAGCTTCAGATTCTGTTCGTAAGTCGAACCTCATTATGTGATTATACAATATTTAATAACTAACAATGGTCCGGAACCAAAACCCAAACGCAATCAACCAAGGTCTGTCAGCCTTTGTTCATGACGCCAATCGATTTCTACTCTATCACAAAGTGATGATCGAAAACACCCCTTTACAACTTTATACTTCAGCTCTGTTATTTAGCCCTGAACAGAGCGTTGTGAAAGCACAGTTTCGGGATGAGGCTCCTGACTGGGTCACAATCACGCCTGGTCTGGAACGCACGTGGAGTGCGTGTTTGCAGACGCTAGAATATAATACGGAGCATCACAAATGCACTTCAACCGTAGCCTACTCCCCCGATGGGGAGTGGCTCGTCACTAGTTATGACGATAGTACTGTGAAGCTCTGGCATGCGGAGAGCGGAACCTGCATGCACACAGTCAGTATCCTCGGCGAAGAGGATAGACAATACAGCGGGAACAAGGACTTGTATGGAACAACGCCGGTGGCTTTTTCAGCAGACGGCAAAGCATTTATATCCAGCTCCTGGAACGGTGTCGTGAAGGTCTATGACAGAGACACAGGCCGCTGCACCCACCAGCTCGAACCATATTCATCTAACGCCACGGTAATAGCCATCTCGTCAGATGGGTCCACGGTTGCATTGTATGTTCAAGGTCGTATCGTCATTCAGAGTATGAAAGGGGAATTTCCTACTCGCACCATCGAGTGCCATCTTGAACAGGGTGAAGTTCACTCCATAGCGTTGAACGCAAATGGCCATTGGATTGCCTTAGGATTAATAGAGCAACTCCTCGAGATTTTCGATGTATCGACAGGGGGGCGCCAACAGATATCCACGGATCACGAGGTAGTTACTGTGGCTTGGTCGCCGGATGGAGACTGGGTTGCGTCAGGTGGCAAGGCCATCGCTGAAATGTGCTTCATCATACAGATCTGGGAAAGACGAACTGGAAAGTCAATTCTGAGAATCAAATGCGAGGTACTAGACGGCTCTAAGCTGACAGCCGTACCCCATTACATGGACGTCTCAGCCGACAAAGAATTCCTGGCAGCTGCCTCTCGAGATAGCATATGCGTGTGGAACACGTCGACTGGTGCTTTAACGTGGGAGATGTACGTTTCCGACTCAAGCGACATACGCTCGTTTTCGTTTTCCCCAGACGCTCAGCGAATCATTTCGACGGCCTATCCATCAACGATCAAAGTCTGGGACTTATCAATAATGCCAGACGCCGTATCCCGCCGGCCATTTAATCGCAGGGAACAAGTGATCTTTGCTGATGACGATCGTTTCCTGACATATGGCCCCTTGATGGAGAAGATCAGACTTTGGGACAGACGAGCCGATATGCCAGAGTCAACGTTCTATGAGAGGTCCGTGTCTGCTATCGCACTATCTCAAGACGGCCAGCAACTTGCATCGGCTTCTTGGAAGAAGACTACGATCACAATTTGGAACACAAGTACCCGTGCTATCACGATGAAACTCTGTGGTCGCACAGAGCATATTTGCTTCAATGCGCGTGACTCTAAAAAGAGCGTTTGCCAACGAAGACATTGGGACAATGAAGTAGATGACGAAGACTACATCAGGACAAGACAAAGTCAGCCATGCGAGATACGTGGGATCGACTCTTTGGCGTTTCGGAATACCTCCCAGCTTATTTCAAGCTTTGGGGGTTTGATCAAGTTCTGGAACACATCCAACGGCAGCTGCTCGCAGACCATTGACTCTGGCCGCCAATGTGTCGACAAGATTACCTTGTCGAGTCAAGGCCAACGACTTGCTTGCCTTGTTTGTGATTACGACGAAAGAGGATGGAAACGCCCTGATAACGCCATCATTCAAGTTTGGGACGTCGTCACAAACGAGTGCATCTCGACGGTTTCCTTGGAACATATTTCGATCGGCATGATCAAATCTCTGAGCTTCTCGGCAGATATGCACCAGCTTGCCTCTTCTCCGTACGAGATGATACACGATAGTTCATATCTCGCAGTCATTCTTTCATGGGACCTGAGATCTGGTTCCCTTCTAGGAACGTTCACAAGCGACAAGATCAAATCCATCAAAGCAAGGTTTGACACCAGATTTGCAAATCGTTTACACACTGCGTACGGCTTCTTCGACACACGCGAGCTTTTGGGCACAAGTAGCTCAATTCATATCCACATAGGCTCTAGAATCTCTGGAGAACACGAAGACTTCGAGCATACACCAGATTCAGTGAGCTGGGAAACAATGCCCGCCTTCCACGGCTATGGCCTTAGCTGCGATCGAGAATGGATCGTGCGTAACGGGAAACGTTTGCTGTGGATTCCTCCAGATTTCAGACCCTCTCTTTATGACGATATCAGTCCCGGTATGGATGGATCGAGTATCATATGGCTAAGAGGCACACGAGAGCCAGTACGAATGTACTTTACAGAGTGCTAACGCTAAATAACTTGTTAGGCAGAATTGACCAGAAAAGCACCTGCATTGATGATAGATGGAAGTCAACTTTGCCTTCACAAATTCTGCTCACCCATATCGCTTTAAGGTCATTTTACCGTCCCCAAGGGGGCGGATGATCTGGCTACTTGATGTTGCTAGCTCCAGAATCTCCAGATCCTTCAGACCTAAAAACCTCGCACGGCGTGACTCATCAACAACCTAGGTATGTGATGAACACATATAAATAAGTGACAAAGAAGGTGCAGCGACAAGGAATTAATCGTAACACTCCGCCTTTATCTATTTCTGTTATATTATGATTTCTCATATGACGTCTCAAGAGCAAACACCCATGGTCATCCAGCGCCGTCCGCTAAACACCTCACCATCAGCCCGCCTAAACTCCTACAACCACCACGCATTGGCACCGTGGCTCGCAGAGACAGGCTATCTCACTCCTTCGTATCTAGCCCGAAGAGAGCAAGAAATCGCGCCGTTCAACATGGGTCGCTGGTTGACCCCGCAAATTCAGGAGTGCATGCTGAACCAGCCTGCCACGATCCAACACTTTACCAAAGATGAGGTCCGCCAACTTCTAGAAGTTGCAGCGGAGCTCAACTTTGATACGGCGAAAGCTGAGAAGAGTGACGGGTTGAGTGAGCTTGCAGCATAGATGGAACAGAAGACCAAGGGTCACCCGGACGCAACATCGGCTGGGTACTTCATTCGTACAAGTCACTGCAGCCCCAAAGACGCCGATGGAGGAAATCTTCAACCTGTTAACAACATGCGCGAAGCACTAGTGAAGCTTGTTTCTTCGAAGCGGACCGTCCAGGCACTTCTGAGCCTCTTCTATCAACTTAGCCAGGACGCGAATTCTCCCGATAACCAGCTCTACTTCTTCCCATATTACACCGACCTCGACCGCTTGAGCGAGTGGCGATGCTACGTCAAGGAAGGCCGCATCGTCGCCATCAGCCAGAGCAGATTCTATCAGCCAAATCACGGTGGTATCACAGACGAGATGCTGGGTAGGCTGGCTACTCAGGCCCGTCACCTGTGGTCGCGAATCGCACCTGATCTGAACTTCAAGAGCTGCATCCTAGACGTCTACGCAGAGGTCCTCGATTCCGAGTTTGAGGTGAAGCTCATTGAGATTAATCCCTGGGGCGCACACTCCGGTTCAGGCAGTTTACTCTTTCACTGGCTCGATGACGCGGATATCCTTGATCCTCGACAGCCCGATGGCGCGACTGTGATAAGATTGGTTGAATGCGGCGAGGCAAAAGCCCTTACGCGTGATGAGGCGTTTCAGATTGGTCGAGGTGGGATTATTGAGGACGAGCTTCGATGTTTGCGGGAGAGAGGGCTTGAGTGGGTTCTGGAGGATGATAGACATGCTGAGTTTATGGGCTTGCCGGTGCCGGATGGGCAGTCTGGGCTTACGACGAGGAAAGATGGTCTTGAAATCTTTCGGAAAGGATTGGATGGGGATGTTATGGGGGTAAAACCCAGAAACCACCCACGATTTCTGAAGTTGAAAAGGGCGTATGAAGCAAATCGCTGAGATTGGTACTGGAACAGGCGTTTGGCTGTGTCTCACTTTATGGCAAATACCTCTACTTTGCAAGGGTTAGAACACTTGCAGTCACTAAAGCAATAAGACAACTATGGGCGGCTTAAGGGGGGGCTCAATTCCGGTCTCGTGAAGGTATCTCTCTAGCTCAGTCGTTTTTACGGCTGTCGATAACTCCTCGTCTCTCCAGAACACTGAAATTCACCTCATCCTTCTCTCTCTCTCTCCTCCCACTAGTATGGCGCTTTCGAATCAATCTGATTGTCTGCTGTGCTGAAGTGTTAGTATCTGAACAAGACGAAAGATGGAGTAAACTCACAGTAGAGAGTGCGTTCTACCATGCTTCAAGTTCGCTCAGCCGGGAAGCCAAGTGTCTGCTCGATGCCTTGTACCGGACTGGCTCCTGCGATCTCGCCCTTCGGGGCGTTGAGACCACCGTCAACGTGTTCATTGGCGACTGGGGCCTGCCCAACAAAGTCCTCGTAGGACTTGTAACCTTGGAGCAAGGTTACAAGACCCGCAGAGTTGGGGTCATGGCTATGGCCAGTCTCAAGGTTATAAGGCGAAGGGATTCCAGCCATCGGGTGGCCTTTCATCAGTTCGCTCTTCTTGAAGTAGTCCCAATATGCGCGGAATGCCTTCTCGGTCGTCGGGGTACCCGAGGCACTGGCGAGCTTGAAGTATTCGATGATGGCAGTGAGGTGCGCAGGCTCGATCTGCTTTCCGCAAACCTGCATGAGGTGAAAACTGGAAGAATGCTTAAGATCAACCACCTGGAGCTGAGCTTTGCGCATGCCGGTATTCTGAGGTGCCTCCTAAGCAACCAGAAGGACGGTCTGGCGGAAGTGGTGGAGGATCTCCTCATGGTCCTCATGGAGCTCCCCCGTTGGAGCAATCGCGATGGGGACTCCAGTTCGAACATACCAACGAAGACCGAGGTGGAATAGCTTGCCGATGGGGAAGGCTTCGAAGTATTGGTGAGAGGCGGGGACATGGACCTTCTCGATCTGGCGAGTAACGCCCAGAGCCTCCAACCAACGATCCGAGAGATCGTTGATCTTGAGAGCCGGGATGACACCACCCTCGAAGATGAATCGACTAGGCTGAGAGACGGCCGGGTTGACAGAATTGAGGACGTGGCAGTCCAAAGCATGACGCAGGTCGCGCACGCCCAAGTCGCGAGGCGACTTGAAAGCTCCGTTGGTCTCGAGGTCGTACGCCCAGATCACCATAGCGCCGAAGTAACAGGCCAGGAAGCCAGGCCTGCCGAAGCTCTGAACGCAGCGATTGAGATTTCCGGGTGAAGTATCCTTGTACGAACCGAACTTGATGGCGTTAACACCGTGAGCTAGGCTCTTCTGGATGGGACTCGCGACCGAGTTCAGACCGACGTGGATGATGTCAGGGTCTGAGCTATCGTCGGACTTGGCAGCCGCCTTCGCAATGGTGATCTCGTCGGTAGCAAAACTCATCTTGCCAGTCTTGCGGTCCATCTGAAGAGAGATCCAGATGGCCTTTGGATCCGTTCCATCGACAGGAAGGAGCGCCGCTAGGTAGTGGTTTTCGGATGGCCGACTCTCCAACGGAAGGCTGAAGGCAGGCTTGGTCTTGGCATCTTGACGTCCAACACAGAGCCGCTGATGGAGGTCGTCAGCCTCGAGGCACTGGGCTGAGCAGTACCTGGCCGCCTTGCAGTGGCAGCGGTACTTCCGGGTGGAAGGGTTGCCGCAGGCCAGGCACTGCTCGACCTCCTGTCGCTCCTGGTGGTTCTTGCAGCTGGCATAAGTGTTAGGATCGTGGAGAGCCCAGTTGCTTCCTTCACTGCTCTTCCCTGCCATCGAGTATTGCTCAATGGGGGGCAGAAGGACGGTGAAGGTGACCACCGGCTCCCACAGAGATTGGCCGTGAGAAGATGACATGCTGAAGGGATAAGGCGATCAGTATATGAAAGAGGCTTGGATGAGAGAGGGACAGCAATGATCACTTACGTCGATTGGTCAGATCGCTGAAGGCTTTTGTAGTGATTGATGGATAGAATTCCGGAGACAATGATTAATAGAAGCGATCTGGTATGAGGGATGAAGTGAGATGATCAAGACCCGGTTGGTAACAAGGGAAAGGGACGTAGGATGATGGAGGTATGGGTCGATTGAGTCGAAAATTGAGGTCGACAAGGAAGACGAGAGGATGGAAGAAAAGGTGAGAGAGGGTGGGAAGATGAGATTGGGGGTAAAAGTGGGAAAGGTGGAAGTTTAAAGGAATCGGGTGGTGAGAAAGGAAAGCCCTAATTCTGGAAGAAAGAGCGAGAGATGACCGTTCCAAAGGCAAGAGCAATCTTGAGGCAGAACAAAAATAACAAAAGAGGAGAACACGGCGGTGAAGGACTATTCACATTATATTCATTATATCATATGGTCACGTGCGATATCCTCAACCAAAGTCACAAGTCAGTAACTTCGATCGCTATTTGTTTCCTCAATCCTCAGGCGGTCTAAACAATCTTGTAGACCAGCTTCTCAGCACTCACACCACCCTTGGCCTGCAACTCAAAGCCCTTGTTGATATCATCCAGACCACCAAACTCCTTTTGCGGGTTCGGCTTGATGGAGCCATCCTCCAACCACTTGGGCAGGAGGCCTAGGTATTTCTCCCAGAACTTCTTATCCTCAGGCTTCTCTCCATCAATGTTATCGAAGCTTCCATACGTAAGAGCCCTTCCAAAGACCGAGTACACCAACGTGCTCTCGACCTTGACTCCCTCAGGAGCGCCAACCTCCTTCGCCTTGCGCGGCAAAATACAGACGACGTGGCCACCCTCGGGTGAGAGCGCCGTCGCGACTGCCTTTGTGGTCTCGACTTCGCTGATGGCGTCAAAGACGTGCTTCAGGTCATTCTTCGCAGCCTTCTCGACCTGCTCAATCCAGTCGGCATCGCGGTAATCGATCGCCACATCCGCACCGAGACTCTTGAGGAGCTCGTGATTCTTCTTGCCGCCCGTCGCGATGACATACAGCCCAGCCTTCTTCGCCAGCTGGATGGCATACAATCCTACGCTACCCGTTCCGCCGTTGATTAACACCGGAAGCGCCTCCTTGCTCGGGCTCGTGGGCTCAGCAAGTTCAAGTCGCTGGAACAGCGCCTGAACAGCGGTAGCAAAGGCCAACGGAATAACCGCGGCCTGGGAATCCGTGACGGACTCAGGGATGGGGAAGACGAGGCTGCTCTCGATGACGGCGTACTGCGCAAAGACGCCGCGGGGCGGGTCGTCGCTGGTTCCCATGACGAACCCTGCGACGCGCTGGCCTTCTTTCAGGGAGGAGCCGTTGGGGTCGGCGACGGTGCCGGCGAAGTCACAGCCGACGGTGCGGCCTGCGGGAGCGCCGGCTGTGGCTTTCCAGTCTGTTGGGTTCTGGGCTACGGCGGCGATTTTGACGAGAATTTCGCCTGGGCCGGGTTGAGGCTTAGGGACCTGGGATGGTGGTTAGTACATGAGAAAGGGGACCGGTTGAGGGGCATCCGAATGACATCATGTACCTCTTGGACTTTGGCGGTCTTGTCGCCTTGAGAGACGAGAGCTCGGATGGTGCCTGCCATTGTTGCTGTGTAGGATATCGGTCTCAATTGGGTGTTTGGGGGAGTTGTAGTTGAGAATGGAGACAGGAGACGACGTTGTTGAGAGTGTTTCTCAGAGTGGTATTCTCGCGATGAATGACGGAATGAAGACGAATTTAAGTCGAGAGAAAGAGACGTTGAAACAACACGTGGGATTAGTAACCTGGTATTCAAGCTGTTGCTGAGAAATCGCGTGCTCAAGTGGGTAGACGCCATGGACGAGAACAAAGGTTGGTCAAGTTAAGGTACCCGTGGGTGGGCTTGGAATTGCGCTTAGAAACAATGAGACTCTGCAAAATCCCCCAGTGAATCGCATCTGCCCCACGAAGTTATTTCCGCGGACGAACAACCTTGGTCATTGAAGCCTTTAAGGTGTGTAGATAGGGAGCTATACGCAGTGCCGGGGCGCACAGACTTTCAGTATTAGTCACCAAGGGGCTGTTTCTGCTTAGAAATATGGCCGGATATAGCAAGGGAATTCCCTAACAAGAAATCAACTTTGTCAAAGTTCAATTGAGCTAGGTATTGAATCATAGTCTGCCGATGTATTCTTTCGTGGGATGGTGCTCGAGCTGAACTTGAGCTACGGGAGAGGATGATGAGGTGAGGGGATTCTCAACTTTTCTACAGTCTCTATGAAATGCGCTGTGACTAAGCGCTTGACCTACAAAATTCCTAGTAGACAAACCTTTATGTGACACATTGTCATCAGCAATTGAGTACAATAATTGGCTGCCGGTATTACATCTTGAGAATGAACTCTCAAAGATTGATGTTCATGAATGAGACAAATGCCCAATGGATTGAGCTAGTTTGACATCGAATCCTTAACCTACCCAACCTTCGGCTTTGCTCCCGACCCCATTCATCCTCGGGCCACACGGCCGGTCTCCATCACCCCGCTTCGTGGGAGCCCGACCGAACACGGCAATCACTGAACGAAAAGCTCCGAAACCACCACCGATGAGGATGGATCGGAGAAGATCATATAATTCCCCTCCTCAATCTGCGATGTAGTAACCGCCCGTTCCAAGATCTCCTGCATTGGAATTGCCTGTCAATCACCTTGGCATAGCATCAACCCCTCTCAAAGTAACGCATACTTTCTTATCGTGGTGCATCTCCGACGTGACCTTCGGAACCGGGATTGTGCGTACCCCCACAAGTGTCTCTGGCGCCATACCGGCCATGAATGATAAAAGCATTCCAACGCTCATATCTACTGGCTTGGGCCAACCCAGACCTACCTCGTGGCACCGAGCTTCGAGGCATCAATCGTCAACAGCTACTTCGCAACTTCATGTGAAAACCACTCATAATGAAGCCCATCTCATCGGCAGCTCTCACCTGCGCCCTCGCCTCATCGGCCTGGGCCGCGTCCTATACCGAATCCCTCCTCGGCCTACACAAGACCCTCGTCGAAGCCGACTCGACGACCAAATCCGAAGCCCTCGGAACACAAGCTCTCAAAGGCTACCTTGAGACGAACTTCACAGTCGAGCTCCAAACAGTCGAAGGAACCCGCCAAAACGTCTTTGCCTATCCCGGCACCGCCCGCGAAGCCCGCGTCCTCGTCACATCGCACTTTGACACAGTGCCGCCTTACATCCCTTACTCCCGCTCCGGCGATGAGATCCGTGGTCGTGGGGCTTCTGATGCGAAAGGAAGTGTTGCAGCGCAGATTATCGCTGTGGAGGAGCTTCTCGCGAGCGGGGAGATTGCCGAGGGGGACGTCGCGCTGTTATATGTCGTTGGTGAGGAATCTGGAGGCGACGGTATGGGAGCCGCAAATGAGCTGGGCTTAACGTGGGAATCCGTCATCTTTGGCGAGCCGACGGAGAATACCCTCGTCCGGGCGCACAAGGGCGTGCTGGGGTTCAATATCACGGCCGACGGCGTCGCAGGCCATTCTGGGTATCCCGATTACGGTCGGAGCGCGATCGACCTGCTCGTGCGCGCCTTGGATAAGATTCAAGACACGAAGCTGCCGTGGACGGAAGAGTTTGGGAACACCACATTGAATGTGGGCTTGATTGAGGGCGGGGTCGCGACGAATGTGATTCCGGAGAGCGCGTCGGGGAGGGCGTCGATTCGGGCCGCGACGGAGGATTTACAGGGGATTCAGGATGTGCTGCAAAAGGCTGTGTCGGAGGTGACGCCGGAGTATGTCAATTTGACGTTTACTGGGTTTGGTTTGCCAGTGAGTCTGGACTACGATGTTGAAGGTATGTTGTTTGTCTGATTGTTTGACTGGAACGGCCTCGACTGACACAAGCAGGCTTCAACACTACTGTGGTGAACTATTACACGGATGTGCCACGCCTGAATGGAACCCATAAGCGTTACTTATACGGACCTGGGACTATTTTAGTGGCTCACTCGGCTGACGAGCGCATCACTGTTCAGGATCTCGAGCTTGCTGTGGAGGACTACAAGAAGCTCATCCTCGCTTCCTTGAAGTGAAGGGTTCTCGATTCCCTCTAATACTATGTCAATAATATGCCTTGATCGGATTCAAGCTCAATGGCCGGCTTTATCATCAATGCCCTTTCTGTACATCGCCTGACTCGTCTCGCACCCTGTAATGACCCTTTTGTGCCCAGGTTGTCCGTAGGTGGTGGAAGTTGCGTCGATTTTACCATGAGATGAATTCATGTGTAAGGATTTGAGTCAGGACTGGAATCTTGGAGCTCAACAATCGCCTGGGCCTCATTGGTATGAGTGAGATGAGACAGGGATTCATGAGCGACTGAGTGAGTGAGAGCTCAGTGAGTGAAAGATACGTACCATCTACCCCTCACGGATGGTCCGTGCCGAACCTGACGTCAGCCGTCTGGGCGGTCGCGACCCCGCCATGGCGATGGCGTCACACGTGACAGCTCAGCTGGAGCTCAGCTCAGCTCCCTCCGGCTGCCTCACCACCGCCAGCAGCAGCGGGACCGGCCGCCGACCATCCACCAAGCTAGCACCATTCGAGAGCTCAACGGTCACCCTTATTGTGCCTGTCTCTCCTCCTCAAGCTAGCCCATCCACCCCCAAATCCCCCAACCCTTACCACCGCAACAATGTCCAACTCTCGTGGCCTCCCCGATGTCTTGATGACAAAGGTCGACGAGTATGTTGACTCTCTTGCTCCACAGATTCAACCCCGCATCGCGTCTGAGATCGACATTTTCCAGACGAGAACCATCGATAGTCTTGAAGACCAGGTTGTTGACGCCTTTCGTTCACTCTTTAACAAGGACAAGAACTCAGGCGATGGCTCGAGAGGACTGAACGACACACCACCCGACGCCTATGGCATTCA